AGGCTGAGGTGAGTGGATTGCCTGAGCCCGTGGGTTCAAGACCAGCCTGGGCAACTTGGCAAGACCTAGTTTCTATGACAAATCAAAAAAATTAGCTGGGTGTGGTAGTGTGCGTCTATAGTGCCAGCTACTTGGAAGGCTGAGGCGGAAGGACTGACGGAGCCCAGCAGGTTGGGGCTTCGGTGGCCAGGAGTGTGCCACTGCATTCCAGTCTGGGCAACAGAGTGAGACTCCAGCTCAAAAAAAAAAAAAAAAGACTAAATAAACTTCCATGACGACTACCAATAATAACAATGCTCATTGTGTGCTAGGCACTGTTCTAAGAGCTTATTTAAACCTCACCACAAACCAGTAAATAGGTACTATCATTATTCTCATTCTACAGAGGAGGAGGAAACTGAGGCACAGAGTGGTTCAGCAACTTCCTTAAGGTCACATAGCAGGAAGTGGACACAGGCAGCTGGGCTTGGAGTCTGTGGTCTGAACTGTAGTGAGCCCACTGTCTAAAGCAGCAGTGAACACATTTCAAACCTCTTCCTCCCGCCTGGAGCTCAAATTCCAGAAGAAGAAGACAGACACTAAAGCAATAAGTATATTACACCATGGATTACAAAGTCATGAATACGGAGGGAAACCCAGCAAGGAGGCGGACAAGGATTCTGGGGGCTACGATTCTAAGTAGGTGACCAGGGATGACCTCACAGAGAAGGTGAGGTTTAAGAAAAGACTTGAAGGAGGTGAGGGGAGTGAGTGATGCTGGGAACGGAGGCAGGTTAGACCTGGCCCTTCCCACAAGGATCTGCCTATAATCCTGGCAGTCTGGGGTGGGACATGGGGGAACATGGGGTAAACAGAGGTTCCCAATTCAGTGCGGTCAGGGCTGATGGAGGCAGGCCAGGGGACACCAACATAGCCAGAGGGTATGGCTGAGGACTTCCTGAAGGAGGTGATGCCAGAGAATCACTAAATTTTGCTACAATCAAAGGGTCAGAGTTGGGTGAGGAAGGACAGGAAGCAGAGGGTAGAGCAGGCAGAAGGCACAGCAGAGGCAAGACACACCCTGGTCTAGGGGGACAGGAGGAGCAGGTCGGAGTTGTGGAAGCACAAAGGTCAAGGGTGGGGGAATCCCAGAAGAAACATGGACAGCTGAAGCAGACCACAGAGGGTCCCCAGTGATAGGCTGAGGGACTGGGATTTTGTCCTCAGGGTGCCAGGGAGCCACAGGAGGGCTGTGGACAGGGTCAGGGTGGGAGGGGAGGGACCGGGAGCCTGGGAGAATAGAGGCTGGGGCAAGGGCCCAAGTGAGAGCCCAAGTGGGGCTGGCCCAGTGATGAGGTGTCTGGCAGGGTCTGAATCATGTGTTTGTTTTGAACGGGCATTAACAGACAGTTGATGAGACAGGATGTAATGCAGGGAGCCTTGGGACACTGTGGCAGGGGGAGGCAGTACCAACCCTCTGGGATGGACAGGAGCTGAGACAATGCTGCGTTCACACTTCCTCTCTGTTCTCTTCTGGAGGGCCCATGTGCCAGGTTCTGTACTGGGACCAGAGCTGAGTCAAACATGGGTCTGCCTGGTAAGGGAGACAGATCCGACCCCAGACATACCAGGCCAGGGAGGCCAGGGCTGAGGCAGAGGGAGGAGGCCCAGGAGGTTGTAGGAGTCCAAAGGAGGGATCCCAAAGAACAGTCAGAGGTGGGAGGAAACCAAGAGAGTTGGACCTCAGGACCCCAAGAGGAGTCCTCAAAGAGGCAGAAAGCAGCACCCCTGTTATTGTGGGGAGAGGCAACGTGCCTGGGTTTTCATCCTGACTCTGCTGGGAGATCTGACAAGTAATAACCTTCACAGGCCTCAGTTTCCTCAACTATCCAATGAGGATAATAATATAATAATAATGGTGGCTCATATCTATAATCCCGGCACTTTGGGAGATGGAGGTAAGAGGACTGCCTGAGTCCAGGAGTTCAAGATCAGCCTGGGCAACTTGGCCAGACCTCATCTCTAAAATAAATCAAAAAATTCCAGCTACTTGGAAGGCTGAGGCGGAAGGATCACCAGAGCCCTGAAGGTCAAGGCTGCAGTAGCAGTGACCCTGTGAGTGCATTCCAGTCTGGGCAATAGAGAGACTTCAACTCAAAAATAATAACAATAATAACAACAATAAAAAGGGTGGTGAAAGGACTGAATGGATTTATCTCAGTAAAGAATTTTTTTTTTTTGGAGTCAGAGTCTCACTCTGTCACCCAGGCTGGAGTGCAGTGGCATGCTCATGTTGACCCACTGGGCTCAGGAGATCCTTCCGCCTCAGCTTTCCAAGTAGCTGGAACTACAGGCATGCACCACCATGCCTAGGTAATTTTTTTGATATACTGTAGAGATGAGGTCTCACCAAGTTGCCCAGGCTGATCTTGAACCCCTGGGCTCAGGCACTCCACTTGTCTCAGCCTCCCAAAGTGCTCAGATTACAGGCTTGAGCCACCACGCCCAGACTCTGTAAAGAACTGGCATTCAATAAGTTACCACTAAATGTTGGCTGTCAGGGTCACAGATGTTTCCAAGTCACTCCCCAAGTGGGCAGGGACAATATCACCATCAATTTTGTGGGTCCGGATTCAACAACCCTGAGGTTTCCTGGGTGCCAGGTCCTGTGTTGGGCAATGCAGGAGAGGGACACAGAGGAAAGCACCCAGACTGACAGGAAGGACAAACACAGACAGTCACTATCTTCAGTGCAAACACTAAGGAAAACTTGCTTAAGCCTGTGTCTGATTCACCTATGTCCATACTTGCTTCTCTCTGGGGACAAGTCAGGCCCTCAGAGGGGCTGCCTCCACCTCCTTCGGGGAGAGCCACTCCCCCAGCTAGGTAGGTCATGCTGGCGTCTTGAACTTTCATCTCTAGCAAACACACTTCTCTCTCCCTTCCCAGCTACAACCTCCTCACTCAGCCTGTGGCTGTGGGGAGTGAAGGCCAGCTTCTGGGGCCCCACGGTGCCCTGTCTGACCTTTCTTTTTTATTTTTATTTTTTGGCACATTTCATGTGCTGTAATGGTCAACTGGAAGGCAATGCAGCCTAGTGAATAAAAGCATGGCTTGTGTGCAAAGCACGAGTCGGGGTGAGAAATCAGAGGAACGTGGACACTGCCGAATGACTTTTCTCTGCCTCAGTTTCTCCGTGGGTTAACCGGGAGCCAAGACTCCCTCCAGTGGATAAGAAATAAAGAAAGCAACTCGCCCTGCAGTTGTCAAGAGAGGCCAAAACTAAGGAAAAAGGAGCAGGGCCGGAACCCTAGAGGGATCGGATGTCAGAACCTCACAGTCCTTGCTCTTTGTTCCCTCCAGGTGGGACTTTCACGTTGGGGGGAGAGCGGCAGAGGTCAGAGGTTACGAAAAGAACCCCCCCCTATACAGTGTGCGCGCGTGATCCCGAAAGCACATGGCCTCGGGACTCAGAGAGGTGGGAGAGGAGGGCCCGGTCACCTTCACGGCGTAGTCGATGACCCTCTTGACAGCCACGAGCGCGCGCAGCTCCGCCATCTTCCCGCAGCCGCCACCTGCCGGGTCAGTCCGCCACCCTCCGCCTCTCAATCCAGGCGCCCGAGTCTCCCTCCCCTTACCCGGGGTTTCTCTCTGCGTCTGCGCGCAGCGCCGCCAGCCAGTCAACCGCTGCGGACCCGCCCCTCCTACAGAGGACCAATCGGAAGGCCTGAGGAAAGGGGCGTGGCGAGCTACACGACCAATGGAAAGCGGCTCCCGGGGAAGGAGCGGGACCTGGCGGGGGAGGGGAAGGTCTTGCGAGGGGGGCGGGGCAGGGAACTAGGGGAAAGGTCGTGTAGAGAGGGAAGCGCCCTTGGAGTGCAGATACGCCCGGGCTTCCTAAACGCTTCCCACTGTCCCTCTATCTATTCTCGGCTTCCAGCCCCCCCTTCTCCCCTTCTCCAAGTGGCCGCGCCCACGTTCCCACGCCTCTGAGTCCTCGCATGTCCGCTCCCCATTCTCGTCACGCCCGCGTTCCCCGTCGCCTCCATATCCGTGGTGTCCCCCGCCCGCTCCACAGTCCTTCCCTGTCGTCCCCCCACACCCTCTCCATGAACCCACGTCCCCTCATGGCCCCACTCTGCATACCCTGAAGTCTGCGACCCCCTGTCCGTGTCCCCAGGTCTCCCAGAAAGGCACGCGGAGTCGCGGCGCTAAAAGCCATTCCTTTATTCTGCCCCGGGCAGGCTGCGGTCACAGGCACACGGGGAACCCACTGATGGCGTCGGTGCTCTGCAGGATCATGTCTGCCCGCAGAAAGCAGTAGCTGGCAGGAAGGGAGCGGAGGGCGGGTAGAAGAAGGTGGGTCCTGGGGCGGATGGCCGGGGCGGGCCCCAGGGACCTGGGTTTGGAGCTCCAAGGGCGTCCCTGCCGGCTCCACGGGAGTCGGGAGTGGAGTGTGTTGGGGAGTCCCTGGGAGGTCACTATGGGGTTTCCCGGGACGGCAGTTGGAATATCTCCGGGGGAGGAAGGTCTTCGGGGCAGTTTCCTCCAGCCTCTTCCCGTCATCCAGGTTACCCGAGAGAACTGAGAAGGGTAAAGCCAGCCACCCAGAAAAATAGGACCAGGAGAAGAAGACGTCGTTCTTCTACGCATTCTTCACCGTGTAGCCTATCAAGGCGGTCACCAGCAGCAGCCCTGAGCCCCCACGGCAGCCGGGTGAGCTTGGACAGGTGGGGCTGCACCTAGGCCACGCCCTCCACACCGCCCGCGCTCTCCGCATAGGCCACGCCTCCATGAGTCGTCCCCGTCCCTGGTCCGTGAGGCCACGCCCATATCCCCCCATCCTGGCCTCTGGCTCTGCCACCTCCTGGCTCCTCCCCCTCCGAACTCCGTCATCTGGAGCCTTGCTCCCTCCTCTGGGCCCCCAGTTCCTCCCCTCGTGCTCCTCCAGTTCCTCAAGCCCCGCCCCCTGGTCCCCAGATCTCTCCTGCACCCCCCAGGTCCACCCTCTACCTGGGCCAGCTGTCGTCTCACCTCCTAGGAGGAAGAAGGCGCTGGTCGTCTGGCCCCGCAGCGACTCGCCCTGGTGACACACAATCCGCAGCCCCAGGACCATGCCCACGACGCCGAAGCCCGCCGCCAGCACCATGCACGCCGCCGACACGGTCAGCGTGGCTGGGGAGAGCGGGCCGCGTCAGCCTCCCGCGGGCGCCGCCCCTGCCGCGACAGCTTCGGTCGCGATCGGAAGCTCTCCTGGCCACCACCCGCAACCCCCGGTACGCGGCTAAGAGCCCCACTCTTCTGACCCGGAGTCAGCCGTTTGGATGGGGACTTGGAGGTCACATCGGGACCAGTGGTTAATGTCGTGACGAGGGACCAGGAGGGGGGCTGGGGAAACAGGTGCCCAAGTGGGGGCTCGTGGTGGCGTCGGTCGTGGAGGGGCAGCTGGATCTGAGCCCGGGTTGGAAGGGGAGGGGGTGGGGCGCCCGACCGTGAGCTCAGCTGTTGTGCTGTGGGGGGTCTGAAATGTGGTCTGACATCAGGGCGTGCCGGGCCTCACTCTGGCGGGGAATGTTGGAGCAGGTGCCGCGACTGCACTCCTACCACAGGCCACTGTGGCCCTGGTCGTAGCGGATCCAGTAGTTGGTGGCAGTGGAGAGCATCGTGAGGATGTTGGCCAAGAAGCTGAGCAAAGTGCCCCCACTCTGAAGGCTTCGCCTCACCCCCATGCCACGGAGACTGCTGCTAGGATGGGCCCACATGCGCAGGATGGCCCCATTCGCCCCAGCACTTCTACCTGGGGACTCTACTTCTGGGGACCTAAGACCCCCCTCCCTCAACAATTCGCCTGGTGACCACCACCCCCTCCCCCCAGAACCCATTCCTCTATGCCCCAGGCCTACCACTGGGGGCTTTGAGACCTCCTCTGTAAGACCCCTGAGGCCTTTCCCCTGAGGCTTCACTGCCCAGGAACCTATCTTCCCAGAGACCTCCCTCCCCCAGTGGAATGCCCCTTCCCCAATCCAGTGCCCTCCCCACCCCTACCTACCCTTACACACACACACCCCCCTAAGTGACACACCCAGTGCCTCCTGTCTTCTGAGACACAGAGCCCTGAGAGGTGGGGGAGGAGAAACTGGGTCTCTGTGAGGCAAAAGGAGTTCCAGAATCCCCTCCCCCAGTGGTCATTTAAAGAGATAACCAACCCCCAACCCCCACCAACAAACATACCCCAGCAACACTCTTAACCAAAAGCTCAGTCAGAGAGCAGATCTGGGGGAAGCTTGAGGGCCATTCCAGAAACTTCTCTTCCAGCCAGGTGCAGTGGATCACGTCTGTAATCCCAGCACTTTGCGAAGTGGAGGCGAGAAGATTGCAAGAGTCCAGGGGTTTGAGACCAGCCTGGGCAACTTGATGAGACCTTGTCTCTACAATAAGTCAAAAAATTAACCAGGCATGGTGGCACGCACCTGTGGTCCCAGCTACTTGGAAGGCTGAAGTAGAAGGATCTCCTGAGCCCAGCATGTCAAGGCTGCTGTGACCGTGAGCATGCCACTGCACTCTAGCCTGGGAGACAGAGTGAGAATCCAACTCAGAAAAGAAAAAAGAAGCTTCTCTTCCCCTGATGTTCCAGACACTCCATGGGCTCTCCCATTTCCTGGCTCTTGCGGGCCCCCATGCAAGCTCTTGCTCCTTCATTTGTAAATTCAGGTGTCTCTTGAAGCCCCATCCTGCACCTTCTTACCAAGTGAACCTCCTCACTTTAGAAGCTTCAGTGACCCTGGATGCGCCAAGAGCAACCAAACACCATCTCCAGCCTAAGATCTCTCCTCTGAGTCCTAGACCAGTGTCCTCACCTGCCCCTAGCTGTCCCTCAGGGCCCTGACACTCAGCCTTATCCCACTGAGTGTAGCATCTTCTGCCAAACTAGGGAAGGCCCCACCATCCCACCCTGGGCACCGTCCTTGCCCTCTTCCTGCCCCTCACCCTACAAAGCCCTTGGGTCCCCCAGTCTTGCTCCTCCTGCCCCCTGAATCAGTATGGTTCATTCTGGCCCTGGTCACAGGTCAGGCCTCATCCTCTCCCACTCTTTTGTGCTGCCAAGCTCATCCCTAACCTTCTGGCCTCCCCACCGTGTCCTTAGAGGAGTCTTTGTGGCATCCAGAACTGACACTCTTCCTCCCCTGCTCACAATTTTCTCCTAACTCCCTGCCACCCTCAGGAGAAAGTCCCTGAGAGACCCCAGCCCCCACCTGCCTCTCTCCCTTCATTTCCCACCACTCCCACATCCCGTATTCTGGCTACCTAACACCATTCTCCATCCCCTCAAATCTCCTGGCCTTTCCATGCGTCCATCTTTGGGTCCCTCTGCCTGGAAATGACCCTTCTTTGTTCTTCAAAATCACCTAAATGTCCTCATTCCTGAAAGGTTATCTCCGTCCCTCCACAATGTGGTCAGTCTCTTTCTGGCATCCTCCCTGGGCTCAGATTGCCATCTGGTTTATATTAACATTTGTTTTTGTTTTTGTTTTGGAGATGGAGTCTTACTCTGCTGCCCAGGCTGGAGTGCAATGGCACAGTCATGGCTTACCCAGCGTTAACCTCCTGGGCTCCTGCGATCCTCCCACCTCAGTCTCCCCAGTAGCTGAGACTACAGTCACATGTCACCACGCCTGGCTAATTTTTTATTTTTTTAAATTTTTTGTAGAGACAAGTTCTCACCATGTTACCCAGGTTGGATATAGTAACAGCTTTTGATCTGTAACTGACTCCAGCCCTCAGACAGGAACACCATGGAGCTGACATATGGCTGGTTTATATCTTGGCTGAATTAATCTCAGAATAACCAGATTCCAGCCAATTTTTGTTGAATGAAGAAACAAATGGAGGGGCTGGAGAGAGGCTGGAAGGCGGAGGCAGGACCAGATATTCCCAAGACTCCAGATGAAGTCTTTGGATAACAGTGCTCAAAGCTTGTCCTGCTGTTCTCGCCTTCCGCTCACAAGGTTTCATAGCCAGGCCGGGGACCGCCACAGTGAGCTCCCAGACTCAGGGCACCTAGAGTAGCCAGAGAGAGTTTAGCTATTTGCCCATGCCCTGCTCCCTCAGCACCCCCAGCTGAGCCCTCCCAAGCTCCCCAGGGTGGCAGCCAAGGTAGTCACCTGTACAGAGGAAGAGGATTGCCGAGACCCAGCCCAGGTGGAAGGACCAGGAGAAGAAGGTCTGGATCTGGGGATGTGAAGGCTGGCCCCACCGCTCACTGGTGTACACCGCCATGGCCACTATCATGGAGATGGCTGGGGACAAGGGCAAGAGAGATGGCTCAGCTCCTCTGCCAGAGCTCCCCGCCCTCTGTGCCCAAGGCCAGTCAGGAGTCCTTACCTGCAGCAAAGCCTGTGATGGTTGCAACGAGGGGGCCTCGGCCCGGAGCGGACAGGGAGGGGATACAGGACAGGACCAAGAAGCCCACAGACACCAAGCCCCACAGGACAGCCAGGATACAGAAGGTCTGCGTCACACGTATGTAGTCTGATCCGAGAGGAGACCCTGAGTGTCCATCCCCACTGACCATTCCCCCCAGGGCGGCCCACTCCCCATTACCTGAGACAGGGTCCTTGTGCCCTGTTGGCCAGAGGCCGGAGTGAGATGAGAATGTGGGCCCTACTGCCACAAACCAGAAATTGGTGCTCAGAGCAACCAGGGAAGACATCAGGCCCAAGGAGCCGGCAAGCAGGGCCAAGGACCGGCAGGGATCCATGGGGGTGAATGCGGGGCTTCTGGGTCCTGGAGGACTTCTGAGTCTCAGAGAGGAGGAGGCTGTGCACCCAGACTCCTGGGTCCTCTGAGCTCAAGAAAGAAACCAGCAAGTGGTTGGGGCGGCGAGGAGACCTTTGCTACTTCTGCTGGTTGGTTTCACACTGTTCCTGGTAGCTGTGTTCACACACCCTCCCTTCCTGGATTGCACAGATAACATCCTCGCTCCCCTCCCCTGGGTCTGGTTCCCCCCATAGTGTGTAGTGCGGGAGGGCGCTGAAGCTGTCAGATCGTCAGTGGTTGAGGCAGTGGTTTAGAACATACTTCTCTGCCTTGGGTTCTATGCCTCCCACCCCCAGAGCCCTGAACACCAGAAAGGGCTTCCTGGAAGGGGTGAGATAATAAGGCTTGGGGGCCCAGAGGTGAGAGATGGCCAATCAAGCTAGGGTGTGAATTAGATGGGAAGGGACGTGTGGTCAGAGGGGACGGTTGGAGATGTGTCATGCTTTCCTGTGGGTTCTGCAACCTTCCACTCTGGTAGAGGAAGGCCCCATGTCTAGGGTCTTCACGAAGGAAGGGGCTTGGGGTCAGAACTCCTGAGGCTTGAGGAGGAAGGAAGGGGCAGGCGGGGAGCTCAGACTCCCGGGGCCTTGGTTGGAGCATGTGCCAAGGCACATAATGGAGAATCTCAATTTTTAAAGTTTGTGGAGAGGAGGACATGCCCACATCCTCATCTGATAGATGAGTTCAAAGGCAGCGCTGCTTATGGTGGGGTCTCCAGCGAGGTGGCCTTATCCCCTGGATCCGGATGCCTTGGGGGCAGCAGGGGGCACAAGGATGTGGATGCAGGGTCCTCTGGCCCTCCAAGCACTAACTCCCTCAACCCACACCAACATCAGGTCCTGTAAGCAGGTAGAAGGTGAAGGTACCATGGCCCAGGTAGAAAATCCAGGACAACTTGGCCTCTGTGAAGCGGGGAATATACCAGAAGAGAACCTCTGTCTTGAAGATGAACTAGACAGCTGTCCCGGGAAATGACCAAGGAGGATAGCTTCTCTATCAGAGATTCCAGAGAGCAGGTTCTCCTCCCTCACTCAGATCCTCACCAGCAAGGTGACTGGCCACTCTGAGGACATATTCATGAGGACAGACTCCCGGGGTGGTGAAGGCCATGAGGAGGCCACGGCTCTGGCAAGGCTTCTGAGAATCTTGAGTCATAGTGTGCAGTGGTGTGGTAAAAAGAGTCAGCGCACAGAGCCTATCTGTGACCTTGACCGCATCCTTAACCCCTGCAGTGAATAGAGAGTCATAACACAGAGTCCACCTGTGACCTTCACCTCGTCCTTAACTCCAGTGGTTAATAGAGAGTCAGAGCCCACCTGTAACCTTGACCCCATCCATAACACCAGTGGTGAACAGAGAGTCAAAGCACAGAGCCCAGCTGTGACCTTGACCCCATCCATAACCCTAGCAGTGAATAGAGAGTCAGAGCACAGAGCCCAGCTGTGACCTTGACCCCATCCATAACCCTAGCAGTGAATAGAGAGTCAGAGCACAGAGCCCCTCTGTGATCTTGACCTCAATCTTAACCCCACCTTCCCCCTCATACTCAATTTCAGCCACACATTCAACCCATCCTTATCCCCAACTTAACCCCATTCTCATTTCCAATTCCAATCCCATACCTAACCCAATCTCAACCCCAAGCTCCAACCCCTAATTTAACCCATTCCTGTCCTCATATTTAACTCCATTCTCAATCCCAAGTTCAACTCCAGCTATAAACAACCCCATCCCTCATCCTAATCCATTCTCATTTCCAAACTCAACACCATTCTTCACCCAAGCTCCAACTCCTAATTTAACCCCGTTCCCATCCTCATCCTCCAATCTAACTCCATTTTCATTCCCAAACTCAGCCTCATCCCCAAACCCAAGCCCTCTCATCCTTAACCTCAGCTCCCACTCCAAGCCCAACCCAGTCTTCATTCTGAAACAACCCTGTCCTTATTTCCAAAACTCCAGCACTAGCCCCAGTCGCACACTTGCTTTCTTCTGCGTTGTTCTCCCTAACTCCTATCATGCCTACCTAACCCTGCCCACTTCATCCTCTCCACACTGCCACGTCCAAACCTGTGACTGTTTCTCCTCTCCCCTCCACACCCATGCACGCACGCATGCACACAGGTGGCCTGTAAGTCTCCACACACACAGGCATCACAGGCTGACCACAGACACAGGTCACCCCCTCAAGCCAGGAGGGACAGTCACCTTTTCTTTTTTTGAGTGAAGGTTTTATGGGCTACTTATGCCTGGATACTTAAGGCTGAATCACCTACCTCAATTTTGTTTTTAATTGTCATTGATACAGGGACCTGCTAATGTCTGTCCCTATTGCCAAAGCCCCTAGGGAAGGGAATGACAAGGGTTCAAGCCCTCCTGCACACTTCCTGAGTGTCCCCTAGTCTTCTCTGCACTCGCAGTAAGTAGCTTCAGGCTCGACTTCCCTGCAAACTATGTCCAAAGATGTAAATCCCTATTAACTCCCTTTCTCAACAGTCATAGGTTTGAGCAACATAGTATCAATGTAATCGAAAGTCTTGTGATTTGCATAATTTTTGCAATGCTTGATGTCTTAGACCTTGTAAATTTCCTTTACTCTAAATGTCACTATTTATATGTAAAATGCAACTGTAACTTACATGCTATACAATGCTTTGCTGGTCACGTAGCTTATGCATAGGTACCTACAACCCTGGACTATGAAAGTGAACTGTGAGGCCTGAAGGGTGGACAGAACCATTTTAGAATGACCTTGAGTGTGGCTCTGCTCCCTGAATTCAAACTCAGAAATAAATTTCTTTCTACCATTTCCCTGCCCCCTGATTTATCAGTATCAAAGGTGAGCAGCTGAGCGTTTCTTGGATCATAACATTATTACCTCCTTTTTTTTTTGAGTTGTAGTCTCACTCTTGTTCCCCAGGCTGGAGTGCAGTGGCGTGCTCATGGCCACTACAGTCTTGACCTGCTGGGCTCAGGCAATCCTTCTGCCTCAGCCTTCCCAAGTAGCGAACTACATGCACGCACCACCATGCCCAGCTAATTTTTTGGTTTATTGTAGAGACGAGGTCTCACCAAGTTGCCCAGGCTAGTTTGGAACCTGTGGGCTCAGGGGATCCTCTTGCTTCCACCTCCCAAAGTGCTGGGATTACAGGCGTGAGCCATCACACCCAGCTCATGTTTTTTTTTTTTTAACTGTTACTGATTTTTCAGGCCAACCATTATTTCCTGATTTACGTAATTTAACAAACAGTGTTTATCAAGCTTGAAATTAATCAACAAGCTTAAAAGATCTTCCACTGAGAAGATAAACTGCCTCATTTCCTCAGTGCTGGAAAGTTATTCCCCATTCCTATCACAGCTCACTGCAACATGAACCTCTTGGACTCAGGTGAGCCTCCCACCTCTGCCTCCCAAGTACCTGGGACTACAGGCACATGCTACCACGCCCAGCTAATTTTTTTTTGGTAAAGATGAGGTCTCACTATGTTGCCCAGGCTGGTCTCAAACTCCTGGGCTCAATCCTCCTGTCTTGGCCTCCCAAAGTGCTGGGATTACAGGTGTGAGCCACTGCGCACAGCCAAAGTTCACCTCTTAAGAGCAACTGAATGTGCCTTGAAGATGGAGTTGCCAACCTCCTGTCCATCTTCAGGACCTCTGTCCACTTTCTCAATCAGATGTGGTCCAACGTTGCCAGAGAAAACCTAGGCCTTATTCTGAAGCTTCTCCTGAGTGCTTGACTACACTGTCCAAATTACTGGGGTTTTTTTTGGTCTCTGCCAGTCTTGTCCAAGCCCTGTTGGTTTTTCCAAGCCACCCCAGATCTCTTCCAACTTTCTCCAGCCCCTTCCACTGTGAAAAGGGTCTTAAAAAACACTGACAATGTCAAAAATTAAACTAAACATGTACTCAGCCTTTGCAGTTAAAAAAAAAAGTTCCCTTCCTGGAAACTGGCAACAGCACTTGCTGGCTAGGTTAAACTGTTTAACAGCTTTTTTTTTTGCTTCTGTGAACCACACTTGCATTGCTTGAAAGGTACCTAGTCCTCTAGGATGTTGCGGTTTAGCCCACTTGGAAAGTCCCAATGTGGTTTAGCCTTTCTTAAGCAAGCCCCTACAGCTAATGAGGCCCCTTGCTGTGGGACTGTCATGTCCAACAGGCAAGTGGCCACTTGCCTGGCTCTTGACTAAATAAAGCCTCTCCTTTTTATAACTTGTACTTTTGGTGTTGGCATCTGTGAATTAAGCGCTCAGTCCCTATTTCATTTGGGGGCTCGTCCGGGACATCTGAGAGCTTAATCCCCAGTCCCAAACACAGGTGACCTTGTGGGTCTGCATACCTGCGAACCTCAGTGTTTGTCAGGCCTGGTGAGTCTGTGGACTTGCAAATGGCTGATTGTCATCTCTGGCAGACTCACAACGTCCCCAGAGCCCTCTGAGAGATGAGTCAAGTTCCTGTTTTGTTTGTGCATACTTCTGGTTGGACCCGCAGGAAAGCTGGATGCAGCACTAATTCCTGGGTCTGAGGTCGCAGTGAGACATTACTGGACCCTCCGGTATTGCCCTCGGGCAGTTAGGTCTGTCTGTTCAGTTTATGTTATTGTTTTTATTTGTTCAGTGTTAGTCACTGCTGTGTCTGTCATTGCTATTGACATTATGGGACAGCAGTGCTCTAAGCCTGACACCCCTCTGCAACTGGTTTTATGCTACTTCAAGGATTTCCAAGGAGCGGCACAGCAGTCAGGTTATCAGGTAAACCAAGGAAACCTAACCACCTTTTGTTCCCTTGAATGGCCCACATTTCCTAATTGCAACTGGCAACCGGAGGGGACCTTCAACCCTGTCATAGTGGGTATGGTCTGACAGTTCGTCTATTGATGCCACCCGGACCACATCCTGTACATCACTGCCTGGTACCTCCTGGTAATGCAGCAGCCATCATGAA